GGAGTCGCAGGTTCGATGCCCAGCCAAGGGCACGTGTCTGGGTTGCCCCAGGTCCAATCCCCAGCCCCGGTCGGGGCAAGTGTGGGAGGCAACCGACCAATGTGCCTCTCGCATCCATGTTTCTCTCTCTCCCCACCCCTTCCTCTCTCCCTCCCCTCCACTCCCTCTAAAAATCAATAGGAAAATATCCCCAGAAGACGGTCAACAAAAATTAAAACAAGGGGCCCTCTCAGAATCCCACCTACCACACCCAGGAGGCACCCGTTCTTCTCTGCGGGGCGCCCCTGGGTGATGCACGCAGGACTCCCAGACCCAAACGTGGGCATAGCCCGTGACCTTGAGGCACATGAGGTCGTGCAAACGGCCCTGAATGCTTTCTGCTTCTGGGAGCTCCTGCCGGCTGCCTTTTCCGCCTTTTCCACAGGAGACGCGGGTCCCAGGCCTCGGGGCTGCTGTCCAGGTGCTGCCCGCGAGCGGCTGCCGGGCCTCGGCTCTTGTTTCTCTGTGTGGCATAACCTTCAGTTTATTTTTTTTTAACACGTTTTTTAATTAATTTGAGAGAGAAAGGACGGGAGAGGGATAGAGACATAGAGACATCAAAGAAAGAAACATCAATCCCCTGCCTCCCTCACGTCCCCCCTGGGGATGGAGCCCTAAACCCAGGCACGTGCCCTGCCCGGGAATCGAACCGGTAACCCCTCGGTTCATAGGCCAACCTCAACCACTGAGCCTCACTAGCTGGGCTGGGTGTGTGCTTTTGTTTTCTTTTTTAATAAGTAGGCTTTTTTCTTTTATCACTGTTTTAGGTTTACAGAGACACTAAGCAGCCAGTACAGAGAGTGTCCGCCTGCCTCAGTGCCCCTCAAACAGCCACATCTCTACCTAAAATGAATGTCTCCCGTCGGTGATCATGACTTGTCCTAACAATGAGCTGACATCAAAACATTATTATTCACGAACGTCCACGGTTAAGGCTGTGGTTCACGCCTTACGCTATACAACCTATGAGTTTCGACAAATGCATGTCATTTGCGCCCCGAGGCCCGGCTGCTGTCCGTGGTCCGGCCTCGGCTGCCCGCCGTTTAGGCGGCCGTCCCTGAGCCCCCCTCGGCAGTGTCACACGGTAGCCCCTCTGCCGCTGCTCTCCCCTCTCCCACCGCACCGCCGGCGGCCACGTGCCTGCCCACTCCCTCCGTCCCTGTGCCTTTCCAAACGTCCCGTGTGTGGGACCGCAGGCCGGCAGCCTCCCCGGTCAGCCTCTTTCGCTTGGCCATACGCAGTTAAGATCCCTCCGTGCCTTTTGGGGCTGGCCGCCCACTTTCTCTCCTAAGAATGTGTTTTTTAACAGCTTCATGGGGATACAATTTATGGGGATACAAAGTAACTGCACACAGTGACCGGATACGGTGAGCTTGGACATGTGCGTCCGCCTACGAAACCATCGCTACGGTCAAGGCAGCAGGCGTGCCCGTTACCCCAAGGGGTCTCCTCGTGCCTTGGGGTTATTTTTATTTGCAAGTGTGTGTGTGCGTGAGGAACGCTTGACCCAGAATCTATCCTCTTAGCGGGTGTTTCGGTGCACAGGCAGGACGGTCGTAACTAAACGTTACACACGTCGAACAACGAGCGAATCAGAGAGTTATCACGGCCAAAAAATAGTGAAACGCGGAGGAAGGCGGCAAGGAAGAGGGGCACGGGGCAGACAGGCAGGAAGCTATTAACAAAATGGCCGGGCTAGGCCCTTTCTTATACATAAATAACCTAAATATAAGTGGATTAAATTCGCCAAGCAAAAGGCATGGAGTGGCTGAACAGGACAACGCTGAAGGCGAGGCCCACCTGCCAACGCACGAACACCCCAGCCTCTGGGAATGTGCGTGTCCGTTCTTCTGCCTTTTGTCTCTGTTTTATTGTCGACAGCATCACAGATGTCTCCCGTTTCCTCCCTTCCTGCCCCACCCCAGGCTCCCCACGCTGTTGTTGTGTCCACGGGTTACGCACACACGCATGCATGTTCTATGTTCATCTGTTCCCGGCCCCTCCCCGAGGCCCCCGAGATCTGTCAGTCTCTTCCATGCGCCGATGCCTCTGGACCTAATGTGTTCATCTGTTTATTTTGTTCCTTAGGGTCCACATGTGAGATCATGTGATACATGTCCTGGGCAGCTGTGAAAAAACAGGGGTCTCTTACCCTTCAAGACCTCGTAGGGGGCCTGGAGACCGTTATGCTAAGTGAAATAAGTGAGTTCAGGAAAGACAAATATCACCTCTAGAGAAGTTTTGTAAGAGTTTGATTTGAACCCAACTGACGCCATGCAGTTAGCAAGCTCCCAGACGCTCTGGGGACCGAGAGTTTATGCCTTTGGAGCTACGGGGGAGAGGAGGGCAGATCACAGGGAGGCGGGAGAGAGCAAGGGACACCGTAGGTCTGGCACCGTGTGCTCCCCTGAGGGTGGCTACACCTCCGAGGGGTCTGAAAAGAGGATCACTCTGGCATTTCAACAGTATGTCAACCTCGATGCCCAAGAACAGTGGACAAGGCTGGCTTACGGCCAAGATAAGCTTTTTAGTAGCGAAGTTACAGGCCTGGGGCGTGAGGACCCACCACGACCTGCCTGGTTGGGATTCTTGATCAGATCACCCAGTGAGGTTACTGTCACCGAACCTGTCGTATTTGTTAGGGAGCCCGTTTTTCATTCCCACGAATGTGTGCCGTCTACAGGAGGCTCGCTTCAGATTTAGGGACACACGTGAGCTGAAAGTGAAGAGATGGAAAAGATAGCCCATGAAAATGGGAATCAAGAAAGAGCAGCCTGGCCCGTTTGGCTCAGTGGTTAGAGCGTCGGCCCTCGAACTGAGGGGTCCCAGGTTCGATTCCTGTCAAAGGCTTGTACCTGGGTTGCAGGCTCGATCCCTGGCCCTGGTCAAGGCCTTGCGGGAGGCAACCGATCGATGTGTCTCTCTCACATCAATGTTTCTCTCTCAATCTCTCTCCCCCTTCCACTCTCTCTGAAAAGCAATGGGAAAAGTATGAGGAAGGAAGGAAGGAAGGAAGGAAGGAAGGAAGGAAGGACATGGGTAGCTATACTTACACAAAATAGACTTCAAGTCAAAAAGAGTCGCAGAGACCAGGAAGGACGTTCGTTACCTGCCGACGGGGAATCAATTCAGCAGAGAGGGAGCTCAGTTCCTTTTACTGCTCAATTCCATTGTTAGACGGATCCCAGGTTCTCCATCCGCCACCCACCAAAGGGCGTCTCGGTGGCGTCCAGGTTTTGGCAACTATGAGTAAAGCTGCTAAAAACATCCACGTGCAGGTTTTGGGGTGGACACGAGTTTCCTACTCCTTTGGATAAACATCTAGGAGTGCGATTTCTGGGCCCTGCGGTAAGACTGTGTTTAGATTTTTGTTGTTGTTCATCTCTACCCGAGGACATTTTTTCCATTGGTTTTCAGAGAGAGTGGAAAGGAGAGCGAGAGGGAAACATCAATGTGAGAGAGACACAGGGACCGGCTGCCTCCCTCATGCGCCCCAGCCAGGGCCCGGGATCGAACTTACAACGGAGGGTTGCCCCCTTGACTGGGAATCGAACCCGAGACCCTTCGATCCATGGGCCGACACTCTAACCACTGAGCCGCACAGGCCAGGGCTGTGTTCCGATTTTTAAGAAACTGCTCGACTGCCTTCCAAACTGGCTGCCGCATTTTGAGCTTCCCCAGGACGAGACGACGTTTCCGGCTGTGCCATGTCCCCCCAGCACGTAGAGCAGCAGGTTGTCTGTTATTTTTTCGGGATTTTCGCCACACTAACGGATGTGGGGCAGCACCTCAGGGCTTTAACGTCGACCCTCACGATGTCCGATGGGGGGCGCCCCTCATGCCTTCTGTTGCGACCTGAGTGACCTCTGCGGTGAGGTGTCTGTTCCCACACTTTCCTATTTTTTAGTTGTTTTTGTTTCTTGCTGTGGAATTTAAACAGTTCTCCGCATATTTCGGACTCGAGTCCTTTGTTGAATACCTGTTTTGGAAATAGTTTGCCCAGCTCTGTGGCCTGTCTTTTCCACCTTAAGAGTGCCTTTCACAGAACAGACGCTTTTTATTTTAATAAATTTCAATGGGTGGATGTTCCTTTTCCATGGACTGAGCTTCCAATGTTGGATCTAAAAACTTCCTGGGGGCACTTGGTGTGAGGAGGCATCTCAGTTAGAGAGAAGGGGCCCTGACCCAGGTGCTTGTCTCTATTTGCACAACCTAAGCCTGCGGCATGTTTCCCTGTTTCTCAAACTCTCCCCCACTCCCTGTGGCCCGGACAGGCGCCAGCTCCCAGGCGTTCGCTGTCTCAGCCAGAGGGGCGTTTTCAGGCAGCGTGAGCAACGTGAACTCCGTCCTTGCACGCCAGACTGTCTGTTGCCCGGAGGACAGCTTCCCTCTGGCTGTGGCTCAGCACCATCCTTTGGTCAACAATCAGGCCACGGCTAGAGCCAGAGAGGGAAGGATGGAAGAGACAGAGACCCTGAGGAGGGCAGCAGGTTCCTGGGGAGGCACCCTGGTGGGTGGATGAGACAAGCCTGGGCTGGGCTGGGCTGCAGACTGTGACCAGGACAATCTGTGCCCACACCGCAGGCTGCTTGGGGCAGGGAGAGGTGCCAGCAGTGCTGGGGACCCTAGAAGGCTCAGGGGAGAGCCCCGGCCCCATGGGAGGCAAAGCGTGTGACAGCCAGGTTCTCACACTGTCCCCTGGGTCCTGGACGCCCGCCTCGCCCCACACCTACAAACCCATGTGAGGGGACCTCGGCCGCATCTGGACTCCCCCAGGCCCCTTGACACAGAAACCACCCAGGAGAAAAGGGAACTTAGGAAGTAGGCCCTGCCACCGCTTTCAATACCGTTCTTAGTCTTTGCAGCCTGTGGGGGGCGAGGGGAGTTCACACCTCAGGGGCCCAGCTACCAGCTCCTAAGACATGGGACTGTGGGCACAGGGCACAGCCACAAAGAGCCACATGCGTCTGGGCAAGAGCGGGCAGGCCAGGGGCACCGCCTCTATGGCCCCCACCCTTGGTGAGTGGGGTCCCTACAGAACAGGGCAGAGGGACCGCAGTGGGGGCAGTGGGACCGACCACAAGATGTGAGGGGAGACTAGGCCCTCAGGGGCCCCACAGAGTGACAGGAGCAGCTGAGACAGCACAGGGATGCAGAGGGTCTCAGGCCACGGCCCATCCGAGCACAGGAACCAAGAAGCAACCCACGTACAGGGTAGGTCTGGCCGACAGAGCGGGACGCATGGGAGGTCAGAGGTAGACAGGGGTGGGCTGGGCTGTCAGCCAGGCCTTAGAGAAACCTGAGGAACTGGAGGGCAGGAGCCCAGGGCTGAGTGTGGCCAGTGTGCAGGGGACACAGTGCAGGACTGGAGCTGGCCATTGCTCCAGGGTGGACAATGGGTCCGAGGTAAAGACACAGGGAGGTGGGGGGCCTGTCACAGGGGAGGAAGAGGGCTCCCAGATGGCCTAAGAGAGCTGGCCCAGGAGCTCCAGGGGAACAAGCAGAGCTATGCAGGTGAGCAGGGGCCAGGTGGGAGGGCAGGAAGTCAGGGAGCTGGCCCAGGAGCCCCGGGAGAGTTAGCAGAGCTATGCAGGTGGGCAGGGAGCAGTTGAGAAGGCAGGGAGCTGGCCCAGGAGCCTGGTGGAGCTAGCAGAGCTATACAGGTAAGCAGGAGGCAGGGGGGAGAGCAGGAAGGCAGGGAGCTGGCCCAGGAGCCCAGGGGGAGCTAGCAGAGCTATACAGGTGAAGAGGGGCAGGTAGGAGGGCAGGGAGCTGGCTAGGAGCTCAGGGGGAGCTGGTAGAGCTACGCAGGTGAACAGGGGGCAGATGGGAAGGCAAGAAGGCAGGGAGCTGGCCCAGGAGCTCTGGAAGAGCTAGCAGAGCTATGCAGGTAAGCAGGGGGCAAGTGGGAGGGCAGGGAGGCAGGGAGCTGGCCCAGGAGCTCCAGGGCAGATAGCAAAACTATGCAGTGAGCAGGGGGCTGGTAGGAGGGCAGGGAGCTGACCAGGCGATCAGGGGGAGATGGCAGAGCTATGCAGGTGAGGTGAGCAAGAAGCAGTTGGGAGGGAGGGAAGGGAGGGAGCTGGCCCAAGAGCCCCGGGAGAGCTAGCAGAGCTATACAGGTTGGCAGGGAGCTGATAGGAGAGCGGGAAGGCAAGGAGCTGGCCCAGGAGCTCTGGAGGAGCTAGCAGAGCTATACAGTGAGCAGGGGGCTGGTAGGAGGGCAGGGAGCTGACCAGGCGATCAGGGGGAGCTGGCAGAGCTATGCAGGTGAGCAGGGAGCAGGTGGGAGAACAGGAGGGCAGGGAGCTGGCCCAGGGGCCTGGTGGAGCTAGCATAGCTATACAGATGGGCAGGGAGCTAATAGGAGAGTAGGAAGGCAGGGAGCTGGCCCAGGAGCCCTGGGGGAGCTGGCAGAGCTATGCAGGTAAGCAGGGGGCAGGTAGGAGGGCAGGGAGCTGGCTAGGAGCTCAGGGAGAGCTGGTAGAGCTAGGCAGGTGAACAGGGGGCAGATGGGAAGGCAAGAAGGCAGGGAGCTGGCCCAGGAGCTCTGGAGGAGCTAGCAGAGCTATGCAGGTAAGCAGGGGGCAAGTGGGAGGGCAGGGAGGCAGGGAGCTGGCCCAGGAGCTCCAGGGGAGCTAGCAGAGCTCTACAGGTGAGCAAGAGGCAGTTGGGAGGGTGGGAAGGCAGGGAGTTGGCCCAAGAGCCCCGGGAGAGCTAGCAGCGCTATACAGGTGAGGAGGGGGCAGGTAGGAGGGCAAGGAGCTGGCTAGGAGCTCAGGGGGAGCTGGTAGAGCTACGCAGGTGAACAGGGGGCAGATGGGAAGGCAAGAAGGCAGGGAGCTGGCCCAGGAGCTTTGGCAGAGCTAGCAGAGCTATTCAGGTGGGCAGGGAGCAGGTGGGAGGTAAGGAAGGCAGGGAGCTGGCCCAGGAGCTCCAGGGCAGATAGCAAAACTATGCAGTGAGCAGGGGGCTGGTAGGAGGGCAGGGAGCTGACCAGGCGATCAGGGGGAGATGGCAGAGCTATGCAGGTGAGGTGAGCAAGAAGCAGTTGGGAGGGAGGGAAGGGAGGGAGCTGGCCCAAGAGCCCCGGGAGAGCTAGCAGAGCTATACAGGTTGGCAGGGAGCTGATAGGAGAGCAGGAAGGCAAGGAGCTGGCCCAGGAGCTCTGGAGGAGCTAGCAGAGCTATACAGTGAGCAGGGGGCTGGTAGGGGGGGCAGGAAGTCAGGGAGCTGACTAGGCGATCAGGGGGAGCTGGCAGAGCTATGCAGGTGAGCAGGGAGCAGGTGGGAGAACAGGAGGGCAGGGAGCTGGCCCAGGGGCCTGGTGGAGCTAGCATAGCTATACAGATGGGCAGGGAGCTAATAGGAGAGTAGGAAGGCAGGGAGCTGGCCCAGGAGCCCTGGGGGAGCTGGCAGAGCTATGCAGGTAAGCAGGGGGCAGGTAGGAGGGCAGGGAGCTGGCTAGGAGCTCAGGGAGAGCTGGTAGAGCTAGGCAGGTGAACAGGGGGCAGATGGGAAGGCAAGAAGGCAGGGAGCTGGCCCAGGAGCTCTGGAGGAGCTAGCAGAGCTATGCAGGTAAGCAGGGGGCAAGTGGGAGGGCAGGGAGGCAGGGAGCTGGCCCAGGAGCTCCAGGGGAGCTAGCAGAGCTCTACAGGTGAGCAAGAGGCAGTTGGGAGGGTGGGAAGGCAGGGAGTTGGCCCAAGAGCCCCGGGAGAGCTAGCAGCGCTATACAGGTGAGGAGGGGGCAGGTAGGAGGGCAAGGAGCTGGCTAGGAGCTCAGGGGGAGCTGGTAGAGCTACGCAGGTGAACAGGGGGCAGATGGGAAGGCAAGAAGGCAGGGAGCTGGCCCAGGAGCTTTGGCAGAGCTAGCAGAGCTATTCAGGTGGGCAGGGAGCAGGTGGGAGGTAAGGAAGGCAGGGAGCTGGCCCAGGAGCTCCAGGGCAGATAGCAAAACTATGCAGTGAGCAGGGGGCTGGTAGGAGGGCAGGGAGCTGACCAGGCGATCAGGGGGAGCTGGCAGAGTTATTCAGGAGGGCGGGGAGCAGGTGGGAGAGCAGGAGGGCAGGGAGCTGACCCAGGAGCTCCAGGGGAGCTAGCATAGCTATGCAGGTGGGCAGGGAGCTGATAGGAGAGCAGGAAGGCAGGGAGCTGGCCCAGGAGCTCTGGAGGAGCTAGCAGAGCTATGCAGTTGGGAAGGCAGGGAGGGCGGGAAGGCAGGGAGCTGACCCAGGATCCCCGGGAGAGCTAGCAGAGCTATATAGGTGGGCAGGGGACTGATATGAGGGCAGGGAGCTGGCCCAGGTGCTCAGGAGGAACTAGCATAGCTCACTGCATAGCTTTGCTATCTCCCCTGGAGCTCCTGGGTCAACTCCCTGTCTTTCTGCCTTCCCACCTGCCCCCTGCACAACTTCATAGCTCTGCTTGTTTCCCTGGGGCTCCTGGGCAGCTCCCTGGGACCTGGGCAAGCTAGACCAGGAGCCTGGTGGAGCTAGCATAGCTATTCAGGTAAGCAAGGGGCAGGTGAGAGGGCAGGATGGCAGGGAGCTGGCGCTGGAACCCTGGGGGAGCTAGCAGAGCTATGCAGGTGAGGAGGGGGCAGGTAGGAGGGCAGGGAGCTGGCCAGGTGCTCAGGAGGAGCTGGCAGAGCTCTGAAGGTGTGCAGAGGGCAGTTTGGAGGGCAGGAAGACAGGGATCTGGCCCAGGACCTCTGGAGGCACTGGCAGAGCTATGCAAGTGAGCAGGGGGCAGGTGGGAAGGCAGGAAGGCAGGGATTTGGCCCAGGATTCCCAGGGAGCAGGCAGAGCTGTGCAGGCGAGCAGAGGGCTGATAGGAAGGCAGGGAGCTGGCCCAGGGGCTCTAGCGGAGCTGGCAGAGCTACGCAGGTGATAAAGGGGCAAGTGGGAGAGCAGCAGGCAGGAAGCTGTCCCAGGAGCTTGGGGAACAAAGGGGCTGGGGTGAGTAGGTAAGTGGAGAGGGATCATGGTGCAGGAGTAGAGGGCATAGTTGGCCAGGAGCTCCAGTGAAAAGGGTTGGGTGTGCAGGTCGGTGGAAGACATGGCAGCCCTGGGCTGAGCCTGAGGACCTGAGTGCAGGAAGCAGGGCATCTGGCAGATGCAGAGCCAGAAGTTCTGCAGGAGCTCAGGGCAGGGGTCCAGCTGGCGGTGCCGAGGCCCCAGGGCAGGGAAGGCTGGGCCTGAGCTGGCAGAACTGGGCTTCGGGTGAGCAAAGGGAAGAGGCTGGATAATCAGGAGGCCTGAGCTCCCCTGAGGGTCTAGGAAGAAGGACAGTGGGAGGGGGGCAGAGAAGGCTTATGGGGAGCAGCTGGGAGGAGGTGGGCCTGCAGGGCACTGGGAGGGTGAGCAGCCACCGGGCTGGGAGCTCCAAGCAGCAGGCAGAGCTTGTACAGCTGAGCTGGGAGGGCAAGAGGGGCGTAGGGCAGCCCCAGGAACTCAGGGGACAGGGCAGGGCCTGAGCTAAGGGAAGCTCAGGACAAGGTTGGAGCTGAGCAGGGAGGGAGCAAAGACAGCTAAGGGCTGGGCCGGGTGAGCCTCCTGTGCAGGAGAGAGCAAGCCGCCGAGGGGTCAGGTGGGCCCTGTGCACAGCAAGCAGGGCTGGGGAGGGGACCCTGAGCAGGAAAGGCTCTGGGGAGAAGAGGCAGGGGGACCCCTGAGGAGACCAGATGGGCCGCAGTTCTTGGACCCAGAGGCACCAGTGCTGTTTCAGGGACCTGTGGGGATGTGGGACAGGAGCGGTGGGCATGCCAAAGCAGGGTGGGGTTGCACAGGGCCATGGACCCCATGGAGGGCAAGCTGGAGGGCCCACTCAGGGCCTGAGCCAGCCTGGGATGGGGGTGGAAAGAGAGCAGCAAGGCAGAGCCCTGGGGCTGAGCTGATGGGACCAGAATCAGCGGACAGACTTGGCCAGGAGGTGGGTGCGCCCTGGCCACGCTGGCGTCCAGGGCACTGATACCATGCAGAAGGATTCCAAGGCCAGTGCCAGGCTCCTGGCCATGCTGAGGAGTGGGCTGGGCCCAGGAAGGATCAGGCAGGAAGGTTCTGGACTGAGCAAAGCTAGGAGGCCGAGGGCCCTGCGCTAGGTGGGAAGGGGCATGCGTGAGCTCAGGAAGCCGCAAGGACGCAGAGACATGGCTGGGTCCAGAGGCCGAGATTTAGTGGCCTGGGCAGGGGAGCCACAGGGATGAGGGGAGGGGTTCTAGGGCAGGGATAGGGTCCTGGGTGGGGATGGGGACCAGGGCGGGTGCCAGGGCTACAGAGCTGACCCAGAAGGGCAGAGGGCAAGCATGGGAAGGGGGGGCTCCAGGCTGCAGGGTGGGGGCAGAGCATGGGCAGGGGCTGGCAGAGACCCACTGCACCTAAGGAAGGGACCCCTCACCCAGAAAAGGGCCAGGCAAGGCAACAGGACAGTGGGCTCAGGGGACCTCAGGCAGAAGCAAGAGCCACCAGTCAAGGCTCGGAAGGCTCAACGAGGGCTGAGGGGCCCTAATCCAGGCAGTCATCCCCCCCTGGCTGAGCTGAGTCCAGCAGCTGCAAAGGTGTGAGGCCCTGGGTGGCAGAGAGCTGCATGGGCAGCTGGTCTGTAGCTTCTAGAAGCACATCAGGCACGAGCAGTGGGCTCAGAGCTGTCCTGGGCCTGGGCACTAGATGCCCTGCCCAGACCTTGGCAGGGGCGAGACCCTGGCAGTCACGTGGCCTCCTCTCTTGCAGCTTCCACCATAGGCCCGACAGTCTTCCCGCTGTCCACCAGCCTTGGAGACACGTCTGGCTCCAAGGTGTCCCTGGCCTGCCTAGTCTCTGGCTACTTCCCTGAGCCAGTGACCGTGTCCTGGAACTCCGGCTCCCTGACCAGCGGTGTACACACCTTCCCGTCCGTCCTGCAGTCCTCGGGGCTCTACTCTATGAGCAGCATGGTGACAGTGCCCACCAGCAGCTCGTCCAGCCAATCCTTCACCTGCAACGTACACCACCCGCCCAGCAACACCAAAGTGGACAAGCTTGGTGAGAGCACAACCACAGAGAGGTGTCCACTAGGAGACAGGCCCAGGCAGCCTCCTGCCTGCACAGACCACAGAGCATGGATGGCTACCCTAGCCCAGTGTGGTGGGGGGAAGCGAGGACTGTCTCCCCAACCTGAAGGCCTCCCAAGCTCAGGGAAGGGTCTTCTGGGCTTTTCCACCAGACTCAGGATGGGCACAGTTCAAACCTACCAAACCCCAGCCCTGAGCCCACCCCCAGGGCCATGCCCTCCCAGGCCCCAGTAACCCTCTGTTTGTTCTCTCTGCAGTGTCCCCAGGAGAGTGTAAGAAGCCCGTCACATGCCCAGGTGAGTAGACCACCCCAAGGAGGAAGCCTGACCCCCAGGCATGGCCCAGGGGGGAACACATGTCCAGGGGAGGCCTGCCTCAGTGCTGACCCCTGGCCACTGTGTCTCCCACACCAGCTTGTCCAACCCTGGGAGGGCCCTCGGTCTTCATCTTTCCCCCGAAACCCAAGGACACCCTCATGATCGGCCGGACTCCCGAGGTCACGTGTATTGTGGTGGACGTGGCCCCGGAGGACCTCAACGTTGACATCACCTGGTACGTGGACGGCGCAGAGAAGAAGTCAGTGTCCGAGAAGGCCCAGGAGCAGCAGTTCAACGGCACCTACCGCGTGGTCAGCACCTACCCCATTCTGCACCAGGACTGGCTGAATGGCAAGACGTTTAAGTGCAAAGTCAACAACAAGGCCATCCCAGCCCCCATCGAGAGGACCATCTCCAAGGCCAAAGGTGGGGCGGCGCATAGGCCAAGGACGGGTCCAGGGGGAGGCCAGCCTTGACCCGGGAGTGACCTTCTGTGCTGATCCCTTCCCACCTCCCACAGGGCAAGTCCAGGTCCCACAGGTGTACACGCTGGCCCCACACGCAGAAGAGCTCGCATCGAAGGACAAGGTCAGTGTGACCTGCCTGGTCAAAGGCTTCTACCCGGCAGACATCAGCGTGGAGTGGCAGAGCAACGGGCAGCCAGAGCCGGAGAGCAAGTACATCTCGACGCCGCCGCAGCCGGACGTGGACGGGTCCTACTTCCTGTACAGCAAGCTCACCGTGGAGAAGAGCCGGTGGCAGGAGGGAAACACGTTCACCTGCGAGGTGATGCACGAGGGCCTCCACAACCGCTACGCCCAGAAGTCCATCTCCCGAAACCCGGGTAAATGAGCAGCGCACCCGGCGCCCGGCAACCCACCCCATGTACATACCCTTGGGCACCCAGCATTAAATAAAGCACCCAGCTCTGCCCTGGGACCCTGCGACACTGTCATGGTTCTTTCTGAGGCCGAGCTCAGGCCAGGCTCTGAGGCTGGTTGGCACCATGAAGGAGAAAGGGTGGGACCCACTCTGGCAGGACCCTGAGCCTGTCGGTCTGCAGGCGCCCAGGATGGGGGACAGGGATTCCCAGCAGAGGCCACTCATCCACCCACGCCAGCCAGAGACTCTGAGCTGGACGTGTGGACAGGGGCCAAGAAAAGCCCCTCCAATGCCCCTCAGGGATATGAGGGCCCAGTTTGTCCCGCCTCTGGATGGCTGTGGGACTGTGCCATCCTTGTCTCCAGGGTTCCCTATCCACTGGGTCTCTCTAGGGCTCCGTGAGGTGGCTCTGTGCCCACACAGGGGTCACAGCTGGCCAGTGGTGTGGGGACAGACCCTTCTTGCCCTAGAGAATAAGCCTCCCACCCTCCCTCAGGCAAGGGGGCTCTGCACGGTCTTGTCCTGCCTGGGGCTGGGCCTGTCCACTCATGAGAACACTTATCCTATTGCCCAAAGGGGCAGAGTCAGGCAGCCCGGGGATCGGGACTGTCCAGATGCCCACATGGACGCTGAGCCCAGACCAGACCCATTGAACAAATCACTCCCACTGACTGGCGCCAGCTCATGTGGCCACCTTCACACACACACATACATTTGCACACACATGCACACACACATGCACAAACGTACACACATGCACATGCAGACAGGCCTTACACTGTGGGGCATCCCACAAGGCACCCTGCCCAAGCCCAGACCAGAGGACAGAGCAGGTCCTGGGAATCCCACCATGGACACCAGCCTGGCCCCACCCCCTCCAATGCTCCAGGGGTCACTCAGCAGTTCATCCACACACTGACCAGCTCAGACACCCCCCACCCCTCCCCAGGGCACCTACACACTCCCCGACATGCAGAAGTCCTCCCCACCGCACCCAGACCAACCTCGGACTTGTCCCAGCACTCCCAACTCTGGCCTGGCCCTTCCCCAGGCAGGGGCCCCTCCTGCCCTCTGACCCCCAGGGAGAAGAGGCAGGTGGACTGGTGGGCTACAGAGCAGGCTGGACTGTGGAGTCAACCCACCTGTCCCCACAGGGCCCCGTGCAGGTAGCAGAAAGGAGATGGGGCAGCCCCCAGGCCAGGCTGAGGCCCGGAGCTGAGGTGGACAGGGAGCTGAGTGCCACTCGCCCAGCCTGGCAGGGCCCCCCGCCCTGTCAGAGAGGGAACCCCCAGGCCCCACCCGCCAGCCACGGCCACCAGCACTGACCACCCCCTCCCTGTCCAGAGCTACTCTTGGATGAGAGCTGTTCGGAGGCCCAGGCGGGGGAGCTGGACGGGCTGTGGACCACCATCTCCATCTTCATCACCCTCTTCTTGCTCAGCGTGTGCTACAGTGCCACCGTCACGCTCTTCAAGGTGGGCCCGTCCCCACGTGTCCCCACGTGTCCCCACGCTGTCCCCACGCTGTCCCCACGCTGTCCCCATGTGTCCCCACGCTGTCCCCACGTGTCCCCATGCTGCCCCACGTGTCCCCACGCTGTCCCCACGCTGTCCCCACGCTGTCCCCATGTGTCCCCATGTGTCCCCACGCTGTCCCCATGTGTCCCCATGCTGCCCCACGTGTCCCCATGCCATCCCCACGCTGTCCCCACGCTGTCCCCATGTGTCCCCATGCCTTCCCCACGCTGTCCCCATGCTGTCCCCATGTGTCCCCATGCCTTCCCCACGCTGTCCCCATGCTGTCCCCACATGTCCCCATGCCATCCCCACTCCGTCCCCACGCTGTCCCCATGTGTCCCCGTGCTGTCCCCACACTGTCCCCACACTGTCCCCACACTGTCCCCACACTGTCCCCACGTGTCCCCGCCCTGTCCCCGTGCTATCCCCACGCCATCCCCACGCCGTCCCCATGCCGTCCCCATGCCGTCCCCACACTGTCCCCACGCTGCCCCCATGTGTCCCCACGCTGTCCCCATGCTGTCCCCACACTGTCCCCACGCTGTCCCCATGTGTGCCCACGCTGTCCCCATGCTATCTCCACGCTGTCCCCACCATGTCATGCCGGCCTCACCCCCGATACTCCCCTGGCCCTGAGAAGCTGACATGGGTCCTGGGCACTCGTCCCTGCAGGTGAAGTGGATCTTCTCCTCGGTGGTGGACCTGAAGAGGACCATTGTCCCTGACTACAGGAACATGATTGGACAGGGGGCTTAGCACCATCCCTCCCGGGCGGGCGTCCAGGGCTACCCCAGGACCCACCCAGGGCCCAGGGCGGCTGGTTCACGCGGCTCCACTCGTTGCCCACGCCTGCTCTTCCGCCCTCTGACCTCGCTGCCCTCCGACCGCTCCACCCTCCGGCCTCCCGGCCATCACAGGCTGCCTCCCGCACCAAGACCCACCGCCTTGAAGAACCGAGACGGCGGCAGGTTCTGCCCCCAGCCTGAGCCGACGGACACGCGCCAGCCTCTCCAGGGGAGCCACCAAGACACCACTGAGGGCAGTGTGGACACCAAGGGCGTGAGGGCAGTGTGTCCCCTCCCCAGGACGTCCCTGCCCGGGGCCGGTGTGCGAGTCCATCCTGAGGGAGGGGGAGGCCCTTTTCTCCCAGTGTCCGTCAGGTGGGAACAGGGTGCAGGGTTCCTGGGAGGGTCCTGAGCCCCCCACATGGGATGGGCCCTTATGGCCACTCAGGTGACCTCCAGCAGAGCGCACCCTTGGAGAAGGGTCTGGGCTGGGGCTGCTGCAGGGGCCCGGGGGGTGCAGGGCAGCACCACCCAGGAAAAGGTAGGCGTCTGCCCTCCAGCCTCCTGGGGAGTGGCCCGGCGGCCAGGTCCCCAGCAGGCGGATCAGTCTCGGTGAACAGAGGAGGCACGGCACGTGGGGAACACCAGGAGAGAGGGGGAGCCAAGCGAAGGGCCTGAGTTCCGCCCCTTCGCCCCTTCTCGGGGTCTCCCCTATCTGGTGGGGGGGCTGGAAGCCAAGAGGACTGAAGGGAGAGTGCCGCCTGCCTTGGCGACCCACAGGGCAGACAGATGTCCCGATATCCAGGGAGCACCAAGTGGGCGAGTCCAGACGGGAAGGAGGCAGATGACCCCGTGACTGCAGGGGATGTGCGGAGAGACCCCGCAAAGGAAACGCCACCTCGTAGCTTGGGTTGCTTTTTGTTTTCTTTTTAATTTTCTGGAGCCCATTAATTTTCTTTACTGTTTTTGTGTGGGTTTTTTTTAATGAAATAAAACATCCTTCAACATTCCATGGCTCCTGGGAGTCTTCCTGTGCCGGCGCACCTCGCGAAACCCACAGCCCGGCTCCGTCGGAGCCAGGGCCCCCTTCTCCCGGCGCCACAACCTGCAGCCCCCGTCTCCTCCTGCCCTCCACTCCGCAGCCGGGGCTCCCGCGGGTGAGGAAGGCAGCCCAGAAACAAGGGGGTGCAGGGGGCAGGCCTGGCTGTGCTGGTGGGGGCCTGGCGGCAGCACAGACACGTGACTGGAACTGCGCACGTACGCTCTCCGAGGCCCGGGGCTGTAGGTCCCCAAGCGGGTGTCGCAGGACCGGTCCCTCTGAGGCCTCTCTCCTGGGCAGGTGGACAGCCATCTTCTCCCTGTGACCTCCCGTGACCATCCTTCTGTGTGTCTGTGTCCTGATCGCCTCTTTTTCTCAATATATTTTTTTAATGATTTTAGAGAGAGAGGAAGGGAGAGGGAGAGAGAGATACAAACATCAATGAGAGAGAAACATCGATTGGCTGGACCACAGACAGGACTCGGGGGCGGGGTGGCCAGCAGGCATCCACGAGCTCATCCTGCCCACAGGCACCCGGTCTCCATGACTCCAGGGCTCCAGGTGACAGTACTGGGGGTCACTCACCCCCTCTGTCTCCTGCACCCAGCCCAGCCACCCTCTCTCTCTGTCCCCAGGCCCTGCCCCTCACTTCCATCACCTGGACCAAGGCATCCAACTCCAGCCAGTCCACCCTTGGGTTGTCCCCACCACCCTGAACAGCAGACCCTGGCTCAGACTATAGCCTTAGCCCTCAGGGCACGAGCACCCTCAGAAACTGCCCCAGGTTCTGCCCACCAGCCCCATGGTTCTCACCCTACCCATGGCCTCCCAGAAATACTGCACCACAGGGCACCCAACCTCTCCCAGTGTCTGCCTGTCCTTGAGCCCCGTAGCTGTGCCGGCCTGAGCTCTGAAGCCCCTCCCACTGCCTCCTGACCACCTGTACCCCCAACCCTGAGCACCAGCTCTGACACCCACACATTTATCTGTGCCTTACACACTCATGAACACACACAGGTGCTTGCACACACACATACATAGGCCCTCACACACACACACACTCACACACAGGTACACACACACACAGGTCCTCACACACACAGGTCCTCACACACACAGGTCCTCACACACACACACACACACACACACACAGGTCCTCACACACACACACACACACAGGTACACACACACACACAGGTACACACACACACAGGTCCTCACACACACACACAGGTACATACACACGTCCTCACACACACGTGCACACAGGTCTGCACACACACACAGAGGCCCTTACACACACACACACTCACACACAGGTACACACACACACAGGTCCTCACACACACACACACACAGGTACACACACACACAGGTCCTCACACACACACACAGGTACACACACACACAGGTCCTCACACACACACACACAGGTACATACACACGTCCTCACACACATGTGCACACAGGTCTGCACACACATACACAGAGGCCCTTACACACACACACACACTCACACACAGAGACCCTTACACACACAGGTACACACACACACACGAGTGCTCACACACACACGCACATAGGTCCTCACACACACACAGGTCCACACACACACACACACGGGTCCTCACACACACTTGCACACAGGTCTGCACACACACACACAGGCCTTCACACACACATAGGTACACACACACACACACACGGGTCCTCACACACACACAGGTACACACACACACATAGGTACACACACATGTGCACACAGGTCTGCACACACACACACACAGGTACACACACACACACACACAGTTCACACACACACAGACCCTCATGCACAGACTCAGGCCCCTACCACCGAGGTCCACCTTGCTGTCTCACCCCTGAGCCTTTGCTCACACTCCCTTCTCCGTGTCCCTCCCTTCCACACACCCAACAGCTCCTGCCAGAGCCCAGAAGAGCACAGCACACTCCCCGCCCCGCATGCATAGGCCCTTCCTGCTCAGGACCGTCTCCCAGGAGCCCACAGCTACTCCGGTCCTGACAACGTGGACGCCTGCAGACACCACGGCCAAGGTGCACTCAGGACCTGGCCTGGGACCAGCACAGATGGGGGTGGGTCACAGCACCGGAATGACTTGGGGCTGCGTGACCCCCCACCTTGCCGAGTACTCCAATCAAAATCCCAGCCGTGTTGGTTTTGTCTATTTGTCGGTGGGTCCGTCTGTCTGGTTTTGAGACCCATTTATAGCTTGAACAATTCTGAAGAATAAAAGCAAAGGATGTGAGGTTTAGGGAGACTCTCCCCCTAAACGATACCATATACATGAAAGATCATTGAAAAAGCATGTTGTTGCCCAGCCGGGCGTGGCTCAGCGGTTGAGCATCGGCCTAGGATCCAGGAGATGGCGGTTCGGCTCCCTGTCAGGGCTCATGCCCGGGTTGTGGGCTCGATCGATGACTCTCATCATTGACGTTTCCATCTCTCTCTCTCCCTCTCCATTCCTCTCTCCGAAATCAAGAAAGAAAGAAGGAAAGAAAGAAAGAGAAAGAAGAAAGAAAGAAA